ATGCATCAGATCTGGGCTAATCGATGATTCCCAAGTATTGGTTGGATCGAGATCTCTCGAGTTAGAAAAGGCAGTATTCCGGAGAGGAAGTTTTTTTTTTCTCATTTACATGGAAAAATCACTACCTGAACTTATTAGGATTTATGTTGCTGTATTATATTTAAGAGTAATCGTCAACGAGTATAAACCATTACGAAAAAAGGCGAAAGATTCTGTACCTTCTCATCCAATTAATGAGAAATCATTTCAGTACCTTAACTTTTTTATTTACTGCCTACTATAATTTTTAATGGTACATCATGTGAAATACAACCAAGATGATACTGAGATGTTTGCAAAACAGCGGACCGCAGGTGCCTGCGGCGGTGAATGAACGCGCTATTGTGCTTTCCTGGGAATAACACGTCCACCACCAAACCATGCGGGTCCTTTGTTTCGCCTGTCTCTCAACTTAACTGGGGTTCAATGCTGATGTGGGCTCCCTAAAACAGTCCCGTTGACGGGTGATTGCTGATGGCGATTATCAATAAGACTAGCTGAAAGACAGGCGAAACAAAGGACCCGCATGGTGTGGTGGTGAAAGCGTTACTCTCCGGAAAGGACAATAGCGCGTTCATTCCCCACCTCAGACACCTGCGGTCAGGAATTTTGCAAATATCTCAGCATCATCTTATTCATTTCAATCCCGTACTAATTATTTTTGTAGTAGTCTAGGGTTATTAGACGTTTTGTTCCCATCGTGTATCTTTTCGATTAGCGAAGTAAAATCGAGTATTTAGGAACTTGACGTCGAAAGCGTGACCACTCGATGGCTGCGTTCAAAGCACCCTTGTCGTTTGTCTAAGAAAAAGTGAAACCTGCTCAATTTTAGAGACACTTTCTTCTTCTATCAGTGATTTAGTACTCGTACGAGTATCCAGTATTCTTAAGGGGATGGAAAATACATGGTTAAATGTCTATTTACCAGAAATCTCATAGAAATCATGAGAATGTCTGGGTAATCATTACAGTTGAAGACGGTCGATTTTACAGTCAACACACAGTCTTGTTAGTGACAGTGAGGTTAATTATAATTGCAGAGAAGGTTTGCATAAAGTTGACGCTCTATGAATACTACTCTATGAGAAGTTTGACCGTGCACATCAGTCTTTTATATTTCGTCTACATGAACAAATTTTCTAATTTTCAGTGCGTACTGCAACTTGTTAGATCATCAGGCATGTGACGAATTATGTAAAGTGAGTACATTTTTGCTAATTTTAATATTTAACCAAATAATGCTCATCTCTTAGGTATTGACAAACGCCGGGGTCTCTACCCCTTTCATTTCAACCAAGCAGTATTAGTGAAGAATTAGCCTAGTTGTAGGAATTCTCGACGCAGATAGGAGTGCCTACGGCTAAATAAATTTTAAAAAATAAGAATTTAACCAGAAAAGTCTGTGAACGAGAAGACCTGAGGCCTATTCAAAAAATTTCCAATGTCTTCAACTTCTGTAGTTTTAGGTGGACAATTACTGGTATGGCCACTGCACGATTTGGGATGGAGAGAACTTTAGGTGAGTTACACACGTAATGAGAAGCGAGGGAATCTTGCAACTCTCGAGAATGAGCGTAGAAATTGAGGAGATGGTAAAGCAAACGTTACTAGTACTTTAGTACATCAAAAAGTGAAATGAACTGCCCGTAGAAAAGTATTCGTCACATTACGGAAACGCTTTTCCTCTAAGCCTTAGAACTCCTTACAGCCTGCAATAACCATTTTCACTTACCGAATGGTAAATTTGGACATTCAGCTGCAAATGTTTCGACTATCTCCCACCACTGGACGGATCCGTATGTAAAGGAAAACATCCGTACTGCTCCAGAAAGTGCCAGGAAGCGGTAAGATTTTCAATGACTGGTAAACACTAAACATTTCGCTTAGAATCCGTGCCCATTTGCTAGGGTATATTAATTTTGGCTATCCATTTGAAAATGTCCAGTGGCTTCGATTCTTGCTCTAGAAGCCAATTGCTACAGTTTACAGTTGCCAAGTGTATAAGAATGAAGCTCTCGGCATTGAACAATTGCTGAACGATGCACCATGCATTCGACTTCACTAAGCATGGATAAAGGTGAGTGAGCACATGTCTGGCCTATGCAATGATTGCTGTCGCGGACCAATGTATCGAGTGAGCACTGCTCTCCTCTCAGACTGCTCAGGTACCAACATGCCCAGCTCGGAGTGATGGAAGGCTTGAGATGTGACGTTGAACCAACGACTGCGTGTCTATTTCAGGATACCAGTCACGACTAGGCTGCACGTGCCAAGTGTATATTTGGATTCACGATTAAAAGGCCCTTGTCAGAGGCATGACCTGAAAAGGGCTACTTAATGTAGCTGCCGTTGGTGGTCATATTGCAGTGCGCTTCGTGTCCTGATGCTTTATCTGGTGATATCGACAATATGGGAGAATTCCCGAATGTGACACGCGAGCACGTGAGGAACTAAATGCCTGGTCTACCAGTCCTTTGATGGTAACTAAATTTCCTATTTAAAAGCTTATTCAAGTTAGTGGTCACCTTCATCGAATGCCCTAATTGCATGTAAGATGGGATCACCACATAGTAGCTATATTCTCTCTTGTTCCCCGTGGCATGAAAATGTTTTCATGTACTTTGTTCTTTGCAGATGTGCTCGCATTGGTGTTGTTCCTCATCCCACTGATCTCTTTAACAATTAGCTATGCCTCATTGCTACTTTTCAAAGGTGATTAAATTATGGTCAAAATGAAGAGCTAACCGAAATCTTCAGTCAGGAAGTGCTCATTGCGAGAGTTTCACCATTATGATGTGGCCTTGTCGAGGACATGTCTTCTGTGTGGAATGTGCCATTTTGGATTGTGAGCAGAGCGGTATTTACGACTGTGTTGTGTTTGTCGGAATAGCCTCTTCAATATGGAAACTACGGAGCTTTGGCGACACGGAGATGTCTCTCACCTGCTTCAGAGCCTTGATTCTAGATCCAGTTGCCCGCATTTTTGCGGCATTTTTCTAAGAACTCCGACCAAACCCAAAATGATAAGACGGATTTCGATTCGAGAATATAGTCAGTAGTCATTTGGTATGGTATGGCGCAAAACATAGCATTTTAGTTTCATTCAATCGCAAATTGGAAAACTAGCGTCAAATCAGGTTCGTAAGAGGAGCATCATCATTGAGCAAAACTATGGCGATAGTAAAAAGCTTGGACTAGTAGAACGACTTCGTCCTAATAATATTTGGCAGGCGATTATCAATAAATCAAAGATTTACGTGTGAAAATCGAATATATTCGAAATAAAACGTTGGTAATGAGAATTAACCAAAAAATTATCAACATGTGACAGTGAGTATTACAATGGAGCGCATCCGAAACCGGAACTGCTGCAATGAGAGGAGATGATAACGAATAGGACACGGAATTCATAATCAATACAGCTGTAGTCTATTAAAACCTATTACATTTGAGCGTTATCAGTTCCATGCGCACCTTCAGAAGCTTAACGATGTCTACATTGCAAGTTCTTGGCCAGTGAGAATTGGAAGAAGAAAGTGAGACTAACTTCGGAAACTGCTACCAAATAAAATAACCTAAATTAATGGGACTGGAAGTGAAAATCACTGCGGAAACCGAGGATCAACTAAACATTGCAAGCTTTCACATCCTTAGAATTATCTTAATGTTTTCGATAGCTCGATGCCCAACTTTCATAAGTCGCTTGCGTCCTTGGCCATGTTCTACTTGAATGACATGATATTGGTTGGACAGTTTTCTTTCTTCAATGGCCCGAATTGCCGTGTCGGAATGTTTTCAGGTCGTCACTGCTGGCCATCGTCAAATTTCTAGATCAGATTGAAGCTTGTCTTCTTGTGAATATGTTTCTTCTAAGATTGCGGTGATTTTTGGCATAGGTTTACTGGACCTCCTTTATCTGGGAGATACTTTCATGGGAATAATTGCTGCTGAGTGTCAACATTGGACACAAAAACAGAAGTCCAACGTTTTCACCCCTTTCACAATTCAAGGCAGAACTACACGAGTATTTTTGACTTCCACTACTGTTCTCATTTAAATAAAGCTCATGAGCGAATCAACATAGAACAGAGCCAACATTTGGTGTACGCATTAGAGGATGCAGACTCTCAAAATGCTCGAAAAACGAGATCAAGCCAAAAAGTGATTAGGAATCTTTCTCTAGTACAACTCCGTATAGAACTCGCATGAAGTGCTGAGATATTTGCAAAACTTCGAACCACAGGTGTATGCAGTGGGGAACGAACACGCCGGATGCTGTAGTGGTGAAGTGCGCTGCTCACCGGTAAGGACAACAGCGCGTGTTCGTTCCCCACTTCATACACCTGTGGTTCAAAGTTTTGCAAATATCTCAGCACTTCATACGAGTTATATTTCACAACATACCCTGCCATTAAGAAGAAAAAGGCAGTAAATAAAAGAGTTAAGACTCCGTATAGAATTAGTTCATAGCTTAAAGTCTCTGAAGTTATGTTTGGTTATGGAGCGTGGATACTCTGCAGTCTCAGAGAGCATTAGAAAACCCATGTAGTGCACCCAGCAGCGGTGTCTAGCGTTGCGGAACTCTTGGCATAGCACGTTTCACTAAACTAAGGCAACGCTTCGTCTCTAAAAATAGATAAGTTTGATAGTCTAATGACTTGTAGGAAAAGGCAGAACCAATTTTTTTGAGATCTATTAAGATAAGTTTCACGTGGACTTTTTTGTTGGAATTTCTGGGACGTAAAATTGGACTTAAACTAAAAATCCATAACGGGTTGATCAGAGGTTGTTTCCAAATGAGTGGAGACTTTCTAGAAATTAACGATGACAAGGAATTCGGTTGAGTGTGTGGTTCACATTCTGTCAAAATGCCTTATGTGTTATAACAGAGGGTGAACAGTATTGGTTTTGCAGGGTGCTGAAGGCGGCTTCTGCTACCCACAACGAGACAAAGGCTCGGGATGCGACTGCTTCAAAGATGTGCTTCCGTTGTTCAGACGACGAAAACGCTCATACAAATGGGAAATATCAAGGAGGGAACAGCCTCAAATCAAAACTCCATAGTACAACTAATATTTTATGAAATATTTCACCAATGGGTATTGTACAGGCCGAAATTACTATCAATTCTCAAACGAGAGAGAGACGGATAGACGAAAACTCACTCGATTGGCCCTTGTCCTTTTTAACATGTAGATTTGTTTATATTTCGTTATATGGTTAATGAAGCCTTAAAGCGACCAAACCCTGTTCATAGAAGGATGCCTTTTTCACATAACCATTGTTTAACTTATTCAAACAAATTGATTTTTTCAGAGAAATCTAGAGAGAGGAGTGAGAGGCACATGCGCAAAACCTTCCTTCCTCCTGTTGAACCTTAAATTCTACTTGAAAACTGTTAATATAAAATGGGTTCAGTTGCTTATTACGCTTGCATTCTTTGTAGATCTCAACACGAAGTAGTTATTTTTATATGATGTCTAATTCTTTCGAATTCCTACGACAGTGAACGATATGTTATACCAAAATTCTCCACCAGTACTAAGCGAAGCCAAAACGTCACAAAAATACCTCTGAGCGATTGCCAACAGCAGCCTCACAGAGATCGAAGCATTACGAGAACTCCATCGGGTGTGGTTGTCCTACAGCACGTACAAAGGCTTTTAGGTGGAAAACTAATGACCGATATCAACATGCTTAAATTGCTGAGCTTACACGAGGATGATGAAGATTTTTATTCGGCTAACGTTTCGACGATTTCCTTTTCATCAGAGCTCGTGATCCACAGTTGTTCGTGTTCTCGAGGTGGTCTCTTCGTTGCACCTGGATCTTTCTCAGTGGAGCGGGCATCTCTGTCGAATGAGCCATGCTCAACCGGCGATGCTCTTTTATACAGGGCGGTCTTTGCTGATATTGTTATCCGTTGATAGTAATTTGTTTTTCAGCGGATAATCCACACTGCAGCTGTCGGTAATATGTTAGGTAGCATATAGCAAATAGCAAGACAATGATTTTGAAAACGACCGTCATTTAACCTCGATGTGCCTGCATTCGGCTCGATGCGCGACGAAGGTGCCACCTCGAGAACACGAACAACTGTGGATCATAGGGTCTGATAAAGACGAAAACGTCGAAACGTTAACCTAATAAACAACTTTATCAAGCTTGTGTAAGCTCAACAATACAAGCACATGTTAGTTGCTTGATGACTGAGGTTAAATGATGGCCGGTTTCAAAATCACTGTTTTGACGAAGACCACTTGTGGCAAACACGTTTTCCATGAATTACAGTCGGATTGTAATGGTGTTGTCATACTCTTAAACACAAAGACGAATATGTTTTGCTAGTGGCACTAAGGGTAAAACGGTAAAATCTTAAAAAATTGCTAGTGATGAATCCTTATGTTAAACATACCGGTTCACTAAGTTCAAGGTCTTGTTCTGCGAAATCATCGTTTGCTTGCTTAGACCCGCTGACCTTAGGAAGTAAGCGTTCCCTTCTCTTATGGGTCAATAAGAGTACGAAATCAGTTGAAGAACGGCAAAAAATGGCATTCAGCTCAGCTTAAGAAGTGATTTCAGTGTATAAGTCATTCTCTACACAGACCAGAAGTGGTTCCATTTCGCATAGACGCAGTTTATTTCTTGACCCTATCTTAAACTGTTGCAACTCTACCACTTTCGGACATGAAAGATTTATCACACTTCGGGTAGTCTGTTAGCAAATCGAATGCTGGTACTTGTATTAACACAATAGTCGTGAGTGCTTCTTTATACCGTGAAATCAGTGAAAATCAAGTTGATTGAAAGCAGTTAGTGATTTCACATTTAATAGAGCTTCACCTTCCGACAAATTATCTTGAAAGAAGCATGGAAAGCAAGGCGCTTCGCGAGACCTTTGTGGCTATGGATATCAAAGCACCATTGATGAAGCACCTCTAGCACGTTTTCAGCAAGGTGAGTAGTAGATGATTCATACATAGAAAAAATTTATCATTTCACGTTTAAAGCAAAACACCTTAACCTGTAGAAAACTTCAAAATTGAAATAAGACCCACTAGAATTTACAAATAAACTACAAGATTCAAGTTTCTTATTTTACCAAAATGAAATTCTGATTCTCTGAGTCCCACAACACTTACTTTTTCGTCGAAACCGGTCGTGCACAAAGCAGTGCCATCGAATAAGTCATCTAAATGGTTGTGGCCGTCGTACAGACGTTAAATGGTTCAGAGTTTTAAAATATTATTTAATTACTTGGAGTTGTAAGCATGTTCAAGTTGGAGACAATATGTCGGAAATTCGGTGCACACCGTGAGAGCGATCGAGAATAGCGAGTATGCACCTGCCAAGTTCTCCTCTCCTCAAGAGTTCTCGTTTCCGTAGAATTATCGGCAGTCGTCGAAGAACTCGTGTTGTCATGGATGATTCAATGTTGTCATTCGCATTCTGTGCGCATGCAGTGTATTGGTTAGAGGTGACCTGCAGCGTACAGTGGTCTGGTTCGACCCCCGACCTTGGGTTCACCAAGTATTCCATCTCTCCGAGATCGGCAATTTGATAAACAGACTTGTCTAAAAGGATAGCATCACTAACTTATACATCGATGGGTGGCCGCAAGTAACTATATAGGTCAGATATACATTAGGTCGCCTCTAACGATGCTTTGCGAAGTAGAAATCATGGCGCCTCCATCGGGGATGGATCAAACTCAAACGCTTTGTCCTTTATCCTTTAGCACAAACGGCATGGAACGCTAAAACTCCGAGAAATGATAACCCTGAGGCTTTGCTTTCTATGATTCCGTTGCTGCATTTTGGCAAAGAAATAAAGCCAATCAGTTAGTAGAAAAACGATCAATTTTAGAAATTCTTTTATCATTTGTTTATGCCAATATGAAGTTCAATCGTTGTGTTTGACTATGAATGGGAATTTAAATACACTGTGATGAGATTATAACAGGTGCGCTGGTTCTTCGATATTGCCAGTTAGCAACATCACAGAAAGAAAAAGGCACAGGAGCCTCTATACACAAAAAAATAAAGCAGTCTTGTTTTTAAACTAATCGGCCAACTTTGTTGAATCGCGATGTTCACGTGTATTGGTCACTGTCACCTTGAAAAATCCATTGTCACCTTTTGAGGCCTTCTGTATCATAAGAGCTTGCGCGAGGGCATAAAAGATGCTGTTAAATTGCTACAGCAAGTATCATAAATCCAACATGCTTCGCATATGCGAATGAACCATAAATTCGAAAACCGAAATATTGTATTAGATATTATAACTATCCATCCGTGAAGATACCCAGCCATATTTGACCTCATACAATAGCTTGGTGAGTCACCTTTGAGCACCTTCTCGTCGAAAGAGGAAAGGATATGTTCGTTTCCCTTAGTACATAACTTCTGCAACGGCTTTAGTGGGCCACTGAACTCTTAGCTGATGTCTGCTCCTCTCTCCCGAACATTAACCGGATTGCAGGTGAGAAGTGGTGCAGCGTTTACTCGTAACTTAATTTTCTTATCACCTCCAGCGGTAGAGATTCAACAGATTGTTACGAGTTTTTCTATACAGGATTCTTTAAAAAGACGCTGAATCTGCAAAGACTAAGAAGTACTTCTTGATGAATGCTAAAACGTTTGATTACTCAATAAGTAAAAATTTGTAGCGGAAAACAAATTTTAGTTAACGTGATTACAAGTCTGCACTTCCAAGTCAAAAGTAACATACCACTTATTCAATCCATAGAAAGAAAAGAAAACGATTAACAAATTAACGCATTCACTAAAAAAATCAAGAAAGAACGAACAAAGAACGGACTGAGGAAATCATCTATAACCAAGCCGTACTTAAAAGTGGTCTTGAAGAATAATAATTTGGCACCTTATGAACATGACAAACCTATTCTGTCGGAATAAATAGACTTGTATCCTGTTTGCAGGGTCGTGTGACCCAGTGGTCCGAGTCGTCCTGCATTACACATGGGATCTATTCATGCACCCTTGGCCCAGCAAGCCTTCAATCCCTTCGGGATCGGCAAACTGGTACTAGACTTGTCTGGGAAGATAACAGCACTGCCTCGATACATCGATGGGCCACTGCGAGTCATTGTAAAAGAGAGATATGCATTTAATCACCTCCAAGCGTGATTAATGAAGTTAAATGCATGGCGGAGCCCTAAGTGACTAATCAACGTCGAAAATTTTATTTTTTTAATCTTGTTTGCGTCAAAATGTGCACATCCCAGTGGTTCTCACTCCGAGTAATCAAGTTGTGCTTGAGTCCATTTCGTTTTCAAAATCGTAATTACTTCTACATACTATAAGTCAGCAGCTCCATTGAATTATATAATATAGGTTCTTATCCTTTTTAGCTCAATACTTATTTTAGAATACTGACAACAAACTAGGAAATTAGCCAACCATCACTTAAATAATCAACTGTTCTATGCAGCAAAAATAAGTCGTTTTAATTCTGATTAAGCAGATAACGAAACCACGTGGACTCGTACTCGTACAACCATAGGTTTCAATCTCCTCTACACCGGGTGAAATAAAGGACATTTACATCTGTAAGCGAATGAGGTTTCTTATCAGTTCTTACACTAAAATTAACAGTTCAGTACAGCAACAAAGTATATATATATCTTATACTTAAAAGATTGCTCTAAGAATCCCCACTGAAGCACTTAGCAAAAACGAACACATACAATGAAGCATAAAAGTCTGAAAGCTTAACTATATGAATTAGTATAATCTTCTTGAAGAACCGGGAAGTAAAACAGAAGCTAAGAAACAGCTTCTTTTTATGGTAAAGTAACCTTGCGTGGAATCACATATAGCTTATATGTGCTTCATGGTCAAGCTCGTTGAGAAGCTAGACTTGATATGCCAGAAAAAAAAGAAAAGACAGGAACAATAAAGAACAATAAGTGGAAGCAGCAGGACCCCAAGGGAGAAGCAGACATGAACTTTCGCATAATTCTTACGAAACTTTCAAAAACCTTAACCATAACTACGAGAAAAAGTTTGACTCCAACCTCACAGAAGACAGGTTCGACAGGCCTTGAAGAAGGCGAAATCTGCCCACTACTAGCTATCGTGTGCTAAACACTGCAGTAACAACCTCGTCTCTGCTCGAAAGAAAACATTGATTTATTGAAAAATGCCCAGCTGGATAGAAAGTCGGTTCAGGGAATTTTTTAAACGGTATATTGTTCGAATGAGTTCATCTGACATTCAGTTCAATCAAAAGATTTTGCAAGTTTTTAAAGAAATGATCCACAGAGTTCCATGATGTAGTAAAACGAAGCATGCACACAGATCATCTTCCACCGCAGTACAATCAATGAAGAGGAATATTTTCAAGGAAGAAGTAATGTATAGAGCTGATAGTTGGCGATAGTCGAATATCGAGGCGTACAAAATGAAGAATAACATCGAGAAATGGAATTACCATAGACCATGACATTGTATAACTCAAAACATTGGAAGTTATTTAGTTATAGCATAGAATTGTGAAATGAGCGGATGGAAATCTAGTGGTGAATTACCAGTACAACTAGCTTCAATCGTTTTTTATTTGATTTGTGCTTAACACAAAACTCCCTGCTTCTTAGGGTATAAAACTCAGGCGCAAGAATCGTACTGATTGATTAGATCGCAGTG